CGTGCTCCCGCTGCCGCGCTGGCCTCATTTCCGCGCTCCCGCTCGTTCCGAATCGTGTTCCCGTTGTCGCGCTGGCCTCAGTTCCGCGCTTCGGATCGTTCCGACTCGTGTTCCCTTCTGCAGCGCTGGCCTCATTTCCAGTTCCATGCCCTGACATACAACGCAATGCTAGGTTGTGTTCAGCTGTGCGGTGCCATGCCTTCTGCTGCAATGCTCTGATATGCAGTGCTTGACCTCCAGTGCCACGCCATGCTCTGTCATGCTATTATGTGATTTGGAACGCCATGCTATGTCATGGAATGCTAAGCCATGCTGCGCAGTACACTGCCATGCATCTCGTGCCCTCTGGGGTTCGGCATCCGGCTCTGCGAATAGATCGGAGATGACGCCATCGTAACGTATGGGAGGGAGGGGTAGGAAGTGAGATACGACGGTGGCGCACCCAGCTTGCCTCTCGTCTCTCCCTTTCCTGTAGATTCCCTCTCCTCCTATTCCTCCTCCTCCGCCTCCTCATCCTCCTCTCCCCCCTCCGCAGGGGACATTCTGCCTCCTCCTCATCCTCCTTATACATAACTCCTCCCTGCCGCACCCCCAGACGTGTCAGTAGGGCGGGCGCGGGTGTTTCGCTTGAGACTGTCTCGCAAGTTGTGGCCCTCAAGTCTGAAAGTTGCAGCAGCCTCAAGGATGGAAGGCGGCCCGTTCTGAAAATGTGGCTCGCCCCTCAGCGCCACGCACGTTCGCTTTGAACGTGCTGCGTCAGCTTCACGGATGGAGGGCGGCCCGTTTCAGCGTGTGTCCATCGCCTCAGCGCCGCGCACCTTCGCTTTGAAAGTGTGCAGTCGCTTCACGGGTGGAGGGCGGCTCGTTTTCAAAATGCGTCCCTCGCCCGAGGGCCGCGCACATTCGTTTCAAAACTCAGAGGCAGCTTCAGGGGTGAGGGGGCGGCTCCTATTCACCATGTGTCTCTCGCCTCAGCGTCGCGCACACTCGTCTTATTAAGCAGTTGCAGCAGGTTCAATGGGTCGTACGGTTGAAGTCCCAGGAATTGTGTCCTGGCACGGTTTAGGACTGTCAGGGTGCAACAATGACGTTGAGTCAGGGTGTTGAAGTCCCACACCGGGTGCTCTGGCACGATGCACACAAGTCACGTTGGTGCGCGGCGCTGGAATCCCAGGTATTGGGCTTACATTGGTCCTGGATTTACACTGGTCCTCCTCATTCTCCTCCTTCTCCTTCTCCCCCTCCCTCCTCATATATCATTCGTCTCTCCTCCCTCTCATCCCCCCAGTCTCCGCCGTCAATTTCTCGTGAACACAGTGTCAAGGCTCCAATCGCTCCGCCACCGCCATTGCTATCATCCTCGCCCTCGCTCCTTCTCCCCCACCTTTTCTCCTCGCCCCCCCCCCCTCCATCTGCCCGCGCACTTCGCACCAAACTCCCACCCCTTCCTCCTCCTCCCCCTTCTCCTCCTCCTCCTCCTCCTCTTCATCATCATTCTCCTCGTCCTGCTCTTCCTCCTCGTCCTTCTCCTCCTCCTCCTCACTTCGACACTCCCTCCCTCCCTCCGTCCTTCCCTCCTGGAAGACAAAGCCGCGTGGCTATGACAGGGCCCATGTTTGGTGTGTGGAACTGGTGACGATGCTCGCATGTCGGGTCGTGTTGATTTCCATTGCCCACGCATTCTATGAGTTTTCAATGTTCGGTGGGGCTTATGATTAACACTTTGTACAATTCATACACGTTGGGTACGTTTAGGCATGCTTGGTCACGGAATATAGCATGTTTGGCAACGAAGCGCCACAGCATAGACGTGGCTTGGATTGCAGTCACGTTCCGCCACAATCAGACACGTTTAGTCGTGTCTGGCCATGTGCGCCACCGCGCGTTTTGCGTGTCAAAATGTGAGCCGCGCTGGAACGTGAAATACACACGCACATGCTTACATGTCTGGGCATGCGCGAATGACCAGGTCAAAGCTTCGAGCAATGACGGGGGGCATCATCTGCAAGCCTGCAAGTGCTCATAAGCAGACCTCGCGCCCATAGCGCGTCGTGGCCCCCAGGAAATGTTTGCTTCGCGTATCCCCACCAGCCCGTCCAGAGACGATGCGCCGGGGAGTTGACTTGATCATAGAAGTGTAGCTGCGTGCGGTGTGACAAAGAGCGGGGTAGCCGTCGTCGTCGTTGTCGTCGTCGTCACATTCGTCTTTGCATTTTTCCTCCAATTCTTCTTATCCTTCTTCTCATTATTAATGATTCCATTCTTAGTATTATTATTATGGTTCGACGTCGTGTCCTTCCTCCTCCATCCTCTTCCTTGTGTTGCTCGTTCACCTCCGCCCTGCGCCTCTTCCTCCTGGCGTGATGCAAGTGTTTTGTGTTGTTTTGTCTTTTGAATCGACCTCATAGATCGTGCGCGAAGCGATGTTTCACGTTTCCCCTGTCTGGGTCGCCCTTGAACTCGATCGGCGTTTGGCCACGTTCAGCAACGAAGTAGCCACGGCGCGACATCGGCTTTAGCCACGAATACCAATGCTTAGACACGACATTCTTAGACGCGGAACCTCTTTAGAAACGGTCGCATTTCAATGCGTATTCAGTCCTTCGCAAGCCACGCCCGAACGAGAACCACGCTCGGCTACCCGCGGCAAAAACTTATGAATTTGATAACTTGCGCACCGGGCTGAGGCGAGAGCCACGTGCTGGTCGCGGCGGTTTAGAGAAATAGCCGCGTCTTCCAGGGAATTCTTGCCTCCCCTCCTCCGCCTCCAGGCAGGCGCTGCTCCCTCCCGTCCGCGCCCTCCTGCCCTGTCCCTGCGGGAGGCGCAGGGGGACGCCCCGGAGGGCAGCCACACTGTTTTCAACCGACGCGTGATATCCCTGACGTGTCGCGTCTCCCCAAGCCGCGCCCGCCTTCAGCCCCCGGCGCCGCTCAGCGTCCCTCGGCGGCAGCTCTGGCAGCCGCGAGTGCGCTCTCTGAACAATCAGGTGTCGCCCGTAGCCCAGGACGACTTCTGACGCCGCCTGCGCCTTCGCTTGCGGCCGCGACACAAAAGTCTCCCCAGGCCGCGCCAGGAGGAGGTGCTTGCAGGAGGAGCTCGGGCAAGGAGGGCGGTGCAGACAGCGCGGTGCTTCCCGGAGGCATGTGTCGGCGAGGGCCCGGGAGGCCTGCGGCCGGGGACCTCCCGCCGTCCCTCCTCCAGCGGCAGGGCGAGCCGGCACCACCAAGCATTGAGTCGGGCATGTCCCTCCCCTACAGGATGGGCACTCAAAAATCGTAAAAAGAACGAGTCTGGGGACGACCTTTCCCTATTTTTGATGTTACCTTTGGAGTATGGGGTATTTGGAGTTTTTCGTCCCAGATGCGCCTGTGGGAGGACACGCCCGACCTGCGGCGAGCCGGCACCACAAGTAAGAGCCAGGGCGACGGAGCTCCCTCTCGGCGCACTCACGTCGCAAGGCAGGCGCCGCCGCACAGATCCAGGGTCACTCCCCACCCCCCTGCTTGGCCTCCCATCCCATGCGCTCCGGTCCCCCTCCTCCGCGATTGTGTTCACGGGTCCCCCGACGACTCGACCCCTTCCCCAGGGCCGGTCTTTCATCCCGGAGCGTTTTCAGACGGCCCCGGGGCCTGGCAAGTGCCCACGGAGGCCGAGAACAGACCGAAGTTGGCCGCCGTCATTTACACTCCATCACCCCCACCCCTCCGCTTCTTCCCGCCTTCCGCGCCTCCCGATACCTGCGGAGGTCCCAGGCGCCTCCCACTCCCGAACAATACAAAAACCTCCTTTCTCTTCCTCGATCGTCAACGACGACGACGACAAAGACCTTCCCCCGCAGGAGCGGCTGCACGCCAAGTGGAGCCGCATGGCCGAACTCAGCAAGCTGACGCCTGAGGAGGCTCCCCCGTCCTTCTTGTCGCTATCCACCTCTTCATCCTCCCTTCTCCTCCCCCCTCCTCCCTCCTCCCTCTTCTTCCCTCCTCCTCCCTCTCCCTCCCCTCCCTCCCTCCTTCTCCCTCCTCCTCTCCCGCCTCCTCGTCCTCCCCCTCCCTCCTTTTCTTCCTCCTCCTCTTCCTTCTCCGTTTGGCCTTTTTGACTCCAGATGTCCAATTCCCTTGGAGACAGAGTGGATGTCCCTACCCCGCGGCCAGTTCTAGACTGTTTAGAATGCTGTAGGAGACTCCTCCCGCATTTTGTGGGCCCTGGCTGGAGCATGCTCCCATGTCGAGCGCGCCGCCCGCACCGTGCACCTACATCTTCCTGCAGCGCGTACCTTATGTCATTGCACCTCTAGACGACAGTACTCCTACTCCTGGCACGCCTCATGGGGCAGATTCGTAGAAGTCTCGGTCAGCATCTCCTCCGCGACAGGAAGGCTGCAGCTGCGTGTGGGCATCAAAAACGCACATCCCACGGTCGTTCGCGCCGAGCCCACTCACCGTGCAGGCCCTTGGCAACAAGCAGCTGGCGCAAGTGGGGATGCAAGCAGCACCGCAACTGGAGGATCGCCACACACTGCCGCTGGAACACGACCCCTGGACGTGCACGCAGCAGACAATAACATCTTGGCAATAATCAAGACCGAGGTGGAGCAGATGTAAACAGAGCTGGTGGGCCTCCCCTTCGGACAGCAACGGAGCAGCTGGTCGCAACAGTGGCAGCAACAGGTGCCCGTGGATTTCCCGAACATGCAGCAACGAGCAGAATAAAGTTAACCCAGGTCGAAGGCAACATCAACGAAATGCGCGAACCCATCCTACAGGCTGCAGAAGCAGTAGGACCTACTTCGGAAGACAGTTGAATACCTGAAGATTAAGTAGGGTTCGGCGGAAAGAGTGGTGGGCATGGTGGACGCCGCAGCCGAAACCAGATACGGCCAGGAACCATATTCCACACTCATCTGCATCAACACGCCCGCCCCCGTTGCAAAGAACAAGATCGTTCAGGCCGTCACCCCGTGGCTCCGAGATGAAAGATCGCCGGAGATGATTGCAAATTCCTGGAAACGGGTGCTGGCGACGGGCCTGCACGTCAATTCTAAGTTCAATTGCAAGGACACGAAAGTGTTGCCGCCGCCAAATGCCGTAAAGCTTTTGCGTCGCTTAATGAAACTCACGGACAATGGATAATGCTCATTGGCCCCGCCGCCGCCAACAACGCGGATACTACCCGGATGCCCCAATGTCCATCGCTCTGGCTCGGAGACCAAGCTAAGCTTGAAAGGAAATCCTCACCAAAAGCTCTACGGCCAATTCAAGGAGAAGCGCCCTCATTGCAGCTGGCGCTTGGACATAAACACGCGGTATTGGGCGTGCTCTCCGCAAAGCAGCCGTCCTGCCCGACAAGGCCGCTGCAGGCCTCGTCAAGGCAAGCCCCCCGACGACGCTGAAGTGAAATGGCGTCTTTCACACATATTTTTTTGCCCCATGGGAGATCCACCGGATCCCTGGCAAGGAAGAGAAAAGCGGACAACGGCGGTCATCGGCGGCGAGGACGCCGCGCATGCGCCCGCTCACTCCGCATCATGAATTTTCCGCGCCGTACTACATCGTGACCAAGACAGAAGAGATGCAAAGATGAAGCACCTCGCCAGGATGCCCGGACAGAAGCCAACGCTGCGGGCCCTTCAAGAAGTTCATCGACCGGAGCAGGAAATTCGACAAGTTCCCATCGAGCGCACATCCTCGAAGGTTACTACCTGTTCTGCTCCATCGAGTCGCGTTCTGCCGGCGGAGTGGCCATACCCACCCTGAAGCGCGGCGAGCGCGTGAAGGTGGCTCACCACGCGGAAGCAGTACCAGGCCGTTCATCGCGAATCAAAGTGATGGCGCATTGCAGCGACAAGATTCATTTTGACGGGCCTGGCTTCATCGTCTACAGCATTCACGATTTCAGACTCATGGAAGCCGAATTCGACGCGGCAGAAGAACCAACTCATACAGATCACGCTCGATGCCAGCTAGCCCCAGGGCGCGCCATCACCACCGGCCTCGGCGACTTCAACTTCTCGGACAAGCCTGCCCTTTACTTGCGTTCGCCCCGGGTGGGCCGCGACGTCTCCCTCGCCAACTCCCGCAGCTGCGCCCGCTCTGACAACGTCGCGCGGCGCATGGATGAAAGCGCGGCACCGTTCGTGGAGATCCACGTCGACGCGCCAACGCACTGCGTGGCTGAATGCCCTGCTGGCCCCAGCGCAAGCATCATCGACCGAATGGCCGCATCCGCCCCATCGGGGATGGGCCACGCAGTGGCACTGGGAAGGGGAGTGAGGGGGGAGTGAGGGGAGGGGGGGGGGGATGACGATTTGCAAGAACAGCAAGTGTGTTTTTGATTGATTTCGAGGGCTCAAGGGGGCATCTTTCCGTCCGCGTCCTCCGTCCTCAGCCTTCTCTTCCTGAATGTGTTCCTGCTCGTCATCCTCATCCCCGCCCAGTTGACACTACCCCTCTTCTCTTTCCCCCATCTCCCCTTTTCTCCCCCTCTTCACCATCATCCGCATCATGTCCTTTGCTTCTCCCCCCTCCTCCCCTTCTGCTGCTCCTCATCCTCCCCCTTCTCATCGTCATCATCCTGTGTGTTGGGTTGGAATTTGGCGTGTATAGGAGCAGCTGGAAGGCCTCGTCGTCATCCCGCCCATCTATATGGGCTCGATTCGAGTGTTCCTTTGCGCCGCAGTCGTCCGGCCGTGCATGCGCGGCTGGCACCCGATGTTTCAGCTCGAGCTGGCCTGGTCAGCGCGATGAGCTCGGAGGACCCGGCGGCGCTCACAAAAGATGGGGGCGGCTTTTCGCAAGCGATTTCTCGCCTCCAATCCCCAGCCGCTCAGGAAAAAAGAGGGGAATTCAGGGATACACCTCCCAGGGGGTTTATTGGGACGCACCCCTATTGAGGATGGCCGAGTTGGTCTCCACATTGCTGGTCCGTTCGAAAACCCATCAAGTGGGGGATAGGGGGTAACATGTCCCCCGTCAGAGCCTTTTGCGAGTTGGGGAGCACATAGCGACATACACATGAACTTCAGGAGGAGCGTGCGGATTTCTTGGATTGGCGCTGGAGCCCCCTGGCCGCGCTGCGCCATGGGAGAGGGACCCGGCGCCAGCCACAAAGAATCCGCGCAGACCTCCGAAAGTCTTTGAATCTGCCGCCTGCTTTTTTCGGAAGATGGCAGAGAAGCCCGCTGGGAAGCCCCTGGGTGGTTTAAAAGGCCGCCCTGGCCGCTTCTGCGCCCCGCCAGAGGATAGGGTGAGGGCCGCGCTGAACTTCCTCCGCAGCGAGAAGGTCGTCTCGAGGTCCAGAGAGGAGAAGGCGAGCGACGGAAGAGGCGGAGGAGGAGAAGCAGCAGCAGCAGGAGGGCCTGCAGGATATGTTTGTGGACTCGCTCGGCTCTTTCTGGGCCCTGGGTGCGCCTGGCGGCCTCTTGGAGGCTTCTGGGCACTCCTGGGGATCTCCAGGGAGCTCCCTCCTCCTCCTCCTCCTCCTCCTCCTCCTCCTCCTCCTCCTCCTCCTCCTCCTCCTCCTCTCCTCCTCCTCCTCCTCCTCCTCCTCCTCCTCCTCCTCCTCCTCCTCCTCCTCCTCCTCCTGCGGAGGTCGCGCGTAAGCGCCCTCGTTGTCCGAGCGGCGTGCCGCGCTGCCGGCCCGCGCAGGGCACCGCGTGAGGTTGCCGCGTCCAGGCCCTCATGGGCAAGGCCCGTCCTGGCTTCGTCGCTCAGGTGGACTTCCTGCTTAACAAGAACATCCCGCAGGAGGACATCGACGAGGCGTTCAGCAGGTGCGCACTGGCTGGAGCGTCGGTCGATTTCCTCGGAGGGGCTCGATGCCTCCACCACGTCGTTTGGTCTGCCAAGGCGCAAATGCGCTCAGCGAAGGAAGTGTCGGTGAATAAACGGTCGAGCGCCCCACGGGTTGGGAAGCTGGGGCGTCTACACACGGAGTTCCATGGTCGACCAGACGACTAGAGTGCATGATCGACAGTAAGATCGACAGTGAGATCGATAGAGGGATTGATTGAGCGGGACGCTGGTTCCTCCCCACCCCGAACCTCCTTATCACCCGACAGGTGGTCGTATACCAACTAGGTGTTAAGAGTCCCGGTCGTCGTCCTCGTCGTCGTCGTCATCCTCGTCGTCGTCATCGTCGTCGTCGCAGTCGTTGTCGTCGTCGTCGTCCTTGTCGTGGTCGTCGTCGTCGTTGTTCCTCTCGTCGTCAGCGTCGTCCTCATCATCATCGTCGTCATCGTCGTCGACCCCGTCGTCGTCGTTGTCCTCGTCGTCGTGGTCGTCGTCGTCGTCTCCGTCGTCCTCGTCGTCGTCCTCGTCGTGGTCGTTCTTGTCGTCGTCGTCGTCCTCGCCGTCGTTGTCCTCGTCCTCGTCCACGTCGTCGTTGTCCTCGTCGTCCTCCTCGTCGTGGTCGTCCTCGTCGTCCTCGCTGTCGTCTTCGTCGTCGCCGTCCTGGTCACCTTCGTCCTCGTCGTCGCCGTCGTCGGCCTCGTCGTCGTCGTCCTCGGCGTCATCGTCGTCATCGGCGTCCTCGTCGTCCTCGTCGTAGTCGTCGTCGTCGTCCTCGCCGTCGTTGCCGTCGTCGTCCTCGTCGTTTTCGTCATTGTCCTCGTCGCCGTCGTCGTCGTCCTCGTCGTCGTCATCGTCGCTGTCCTCATCGTCGTCGTCGTTCTTGTCGTCGTCGTTACCGTCTTCCTCGTCGTCGTCCTTGTCGTCCTCGTCGTCGTCGTCGTCGTCGTCGTCTTTGTGGTCGTCGTCGTCCTCGTCGTCGTCGTTGTTCTCGTCGTCGTCGTCCCTGTCGTCGTACTATTCGTCGTCGTGGTTGTCGTCGTCGTCCTCATCGTCCTCGTCGTCGTCCTCATCGTTGTCCTCGTCCTCGTCGTAGTCGTCGTCGTCGTCCTCGCCGTCGTCGTTGTCGTCGTTCTCGTCATTGTCCTCGTCGCCGTCGTTGTCGTCCTCGCCGTCGTCCTCGTCGCTGTCCTCATCGTCGTCGTTGTCGTTCTTGACGTCGTCGTCGTCGACGTCTTCCTCGTCGTCGTCTTTGTCGTCCTCGTTGTCCTCGTCGTCGTCTACGTCATCCTCGTCGTCGTCCTCGTCGTCGTCGTCGTCCCTGTCGTCGTCGTAGTCGTCGTCGTGGTTGTCGTTGTCGTCCTCGTCGTCGTCCTCGTCGTCGTCCTCGTCGTCGTCCTCGTTGTCGTCGTTGTCCTCGTCGTCGTCGTCCTCGTCGTCATCGTCGTCGTCGCCATCCTCGTCGTCGTCATCGTTCGTGTCGTCGTCGTCCTCGTCGTCGTCGTCTTCGTCATCGTCGTCGTCGTCTCCGTCGTCGTCCTCGTCGTCGTCGCCGTCGTCGTCATCAGCCTCGTCATCGTCGTCGTCATCGTGGTCGTCGTCCTCGTCGTCGTCGTTGTCCTTGTCGTCGTCGTCCTCGTCGTCATCGTCGTCGTCGCCATCCTCGTCGTCGTCATCGTTCGTGTCGTCGTCGTCCTCGTCGTCGTCGTCTTCGTCATCGTCGTCGTCGTCTCCGTCGTCGTCCTCGTCGTCGTCGCCGTCGTCGTCATCAGCCTCGTCATCGTCGTCGTCATCGTGGTCGTCGTCCTCGTCGTCGCCGTCGTTGTCCTCGTCGTCGTCGTTGTCCTCGTCGTCGTCGTCCTCGTCGTCGTCGTCGTCGTCCGAGTCCTCGTCGTCGTTGTCGTCCGCGTCGTCGTCGTCCTCGTCTTCCGTGTCCTCGTCTTCGTCTTCGTCGTCGTCGTTGCGGGCGTCGTAGTCGTCATCCTCGTCGTCGTCCTGGTCGTCGCGGTCGTCATCGTCGTAGTGGTAGTCGTCGTCATCGTCCTTGTCGTCCGTTTCGTCCTCGTCGTCGCCCCCGTCAGCGTCGTCGTCCTCGTCGTCGTCGTCGTCGTCCTCGTCGTCCTCGTCGTCGTCGTTGTCCTCGTCGTTGTCGTCGCGGTCGTCGTCGTCGTCGTCCTCGTCGTCATCGTTGCCGGCGGCATCGCTGTCGTCATCGTCGTCGCCGTCCGAGTCATTGTCGTCGTGGTCGTCTTAGTCGTCGTCGTCGTCGTTCTCATGGTCGTTGTCGTTGTCGTCGTTCTCGTCGTCGTCCTTGTCGTCGTCGTTGTCCTTGTCGTCGTCGTCGGCGCCGTCGTCGTCCTCGTCGTCCTCGTCCTCGTCGTCGTCGTAGTCGTCGTCCTCGCCGTCATCGTCTCGGTCGTCGACGTCTACCTCCTCCTGATCGTCTTCGTCGTCGTTCTCGTCGTCGTCTTCGTAGTGGTAGTGGTTGGCATCGTCGCCTTAGTCCTTGTCGACATCGTTGTCCTTCTCGTCGTCGTCATCCTCAGCGTCCTCGTCGTCGTCCTCGTCGCCTCCGTCGTCGCGGTCGTGGTCGTCGTCTTCGTCGTGGTCTTCGCGTTCCGTCGTCGTTGTCGTCACTGTCGTCGTCGTCCTCGTCGTCCTCATCGTCGTCCTCGTCCTCGTCGTCGTCGTTTTTTGTCGTCGTCGCCGGTGTCGCGGTCGTCGTCGTCGCCCGCGTCGTCGTCTTCGTCGTCGCGGTCGTCGTCGTCGTCGTTTTTTTGTCGTCGTCGTCGCGGTCGTCGTCGGCGCCGTCGTCGTCGCCGTGGTCGCCGCCATTGTCGTCGTTGTCGTCGCATTCTGTCGTCGGCATCGTCGTCCTCGTCGTCCGTGTCGCGGTCGTCGTCCTCGTCGTCGTCGTCGTCGCCCTCGTCGTCGTCACGGTCGTCGCCATCAGTGTCACAGCCGTCGCAGTCGTCGTCGTTGTCGTCGACGTCGTCCTCGTCATCGTCGTCGTCGCCGTCGTCATCGTTGTCGTCGTTCTCGTCGTCGTCGTCGTCCTCGTCGTCCTCGTCGTCATCGACATATTCGCTTTCCTCCTCGTTCTCGTCGTCGTCGCCCTTGTTGTCGTCTTCGTCGTCGTCGCGGTCGTCGTCTCTTGGTCGTCGTCGCCTACGTCGTCGTTGTCGTCCCCATCGTCGTCCTCGTCGTCCGCATCGTCGACGTCGTCGTCCTCATCGTCGTCCTCGTTACGGTCGTCGTCGTCGTCGCCGTCATCATCGTAGTCTCCGTTATCGTCGTTGCCGCGGTCGTCGTCGTCGTCGTGAGCATCGTCGACGTTGTCGTCGTCTTTGTCGTTGTTGTCATTGTGTCCGTCGTCGCCGTCGTAGTCCTCGTCGGCGTCGTTCTCGGTCGTCGTCGTCGTCGTCCTCGTCGCCGTCGTCTCGGTCATCGTCGACGACGTCGTCGTCCTCGTCGTCTTCGTCGTCGTTGTCTTCGCCGTCTGTCGTCCTCGTCGCCGTCGCCCTTGTCGTCGTCCTCGTCGTCCTCGTCGTCGTCGTCTTCGTCGTCATCGTCCTCGTCGTTGTCGTCGTCCTTGTCGTCGTCGTCGCGGTTCGTCCTCGTCGTCGTCGTCGGCGCCGTCGTCGTCCTCGTCGTCGTTGTTGCGGTTGTCGTCGCCGTCGTAGTCCTCGTAGTCGTCGTCATCGTCGTTGTCGCGGGCGTCGTCGTATTTTTTGGTTTCATCGTCATCGTCCTCGTCGTCGTCCTCGTCGTCGTCCTCGTTGTCGTCGTCGTCGCGGTCGTCGTCCTCGTCGTCGTCGTCGCGGTCGTCGTCGTTGTCGTCGTCGTCGTGGTCACCTTCGTCCTCGTCGTCGCCGTCGTAGTCCTCGTAGTCGTCGTCATCGTCGTTGTCGCGGGCGTCGTCGTATTTTTTGGTTTCGTCGTCATCGTCCTCGTCGTCGTCCTCGTCGTCGTCCTCGTTGTCGTCGTCGTCGCGGTCGTCGTCCTCGTCGTCGTCGTCGTCGCGGTCGTCGTCGTTGTCGTCGTCGTGGTCGTCATAGTCGTCGTCGTCGTCCTCGACGTCGTCGTCGCGATCGTCGTCGTCGCCGTCGTCGTCGTCGTCGTCGCCGTCGTCTTTGTCGTCGTCGCCGTCCGCGTCGTTGTCGTCGTTGCGGTCGTCGTCGTCTTCGTCGTCGTAGTCGTCGCGGTTGCCGTTGTCGTCGTCGTCCCCGCCATCGTCGTCGTCTTTGTCGTCACCGTCGTCGTCCTTGTTGTCGTCGTCGTCGAAGTCGTCGTCGCGGTCGTCGTCGCCGTCCTCGACGTCGTCATCGTTTTTCTCGTCGTCGTCGTCCTCGTCTTCGTCGTCGACGTCGTCGTCTTTCTCATCGTCGTCGTCGTCGTCGCCGTCCTCGCCGTCGTCTTCGTCGTCGTCCTCGTCGTCCTCGTCGTCCTCGTCCTTGTCGTGGTCCTCGTCGTCGTCGTCGTGTCCATCGTCGTCGTCGCGGTCGTCGTCGTCGTCGTGGTCCTCGTCGTCGTCGTCTTGGTCGCCATCGTCCTCGTCGTCGTCGCCGTCGCCCTCGTCGTTGTCTTCGCGGTCCTCGTCGTCGTTGTCGTCGTCAACGCCGTCGTCGTCGTGGTCGTCGTGGTCGTCGTCGTCGTCCTTGTTGTGGTCGTCAGATTCGTCGTCGTCGTCATCATCGTCGTGGTCGTCGTCGTCGCCGTCCTCGTCGTCGTCGTCGCGGTCGTCGTCGTCGATGTCGTCGCCGTCGTCTTCGTCGTCGTCTCGGTCTTCGTCGTCGTCGTGGCCGTCCTCGTCGTCATCGTTGTCGCGGTCGTCGTCGTCGTTGTTGTCGTCATTGTCGCCGTTTTCGTCGTCGCCGTCGTCGTCGCGGTCGTTGTCGTCATCGTCGTCACCGTCCTCGTCGGCGTCGTCCTCGACGCTGTCGTCGGCGTCGTCGGCGTCCTCGTCGTCGGTGTCTCTGTCGTCGTCGTCGACGTCGTCGTCATCGCCGCCGTCCTCGTCCTCGTCGTCGTCGCCGTCCTGTTCGTCGCCGTCCTCGTCGCCGCCAACCTCGTCGTCCTCGTCGTCCTCGTCCTGGGCCACTTCCGCCCGTGCTGGGGGGGATAGGCTCCCTCCTGCCACGCGGCGCGCCCATCTCGGCCAAACTGGGCCCTGAGGCCCTCGTGCTCCCGGCCGCCGGCCCGAGCGCCGTTGGCGCCGAATGTCCCCAGACCTCCTCCTCCTCCTCCTCCTCCTCCTCCTCCTTCTCCTCCTCCTCCTCCTCCTCCTCCTCCTCCTCCTCCTCAGACCTCGCCCCACCTCGGGGGCAGCGATAGGGGGGGGGACGCGGCGCCGCGCCGGCCTCGGGCCCTCCACCCTCGGGGGAGGGCCGTCCGGGGGCAGCGACAGGGGCGGATGGGCACGGGTTCCTCGGTCGTGGTCGCTCCGAGGCTCCAGTTCCGCGGCGGCTCTCCGGCCTCGGGATGCGTTCCAGCAGCTGCGCCTCGTCGAGGGCGTTCTGGGGGTGCCGGGATCGTTCCAAGCGGCCGCCGGAGTGCCGAGCTGTGGCCCGAAGACCATACGCATCGGCCCCCGATCGCCCATTGATCACCGATGGGGGTAGGATAGCCCCAGCCTGCCCAGGGACGTGCGGATTCGCTGTCGGGGGCCTATCGCCGATCTATCGGCGATGTGTCGCGGATTCCAGGTCGATACTCCCCCCCCTTATGCGAGTCCCCCCCGATCGTTGCCCTCACTACTGCGAAGGCCTTACGACCAGCGCCGCCGACCCTGAAGTGGGACGACGACGACGACGACGACGACGCCGACGACGAGGACGACGACGACGACGACGACGACGACGACGACGACGAGGTTCATTCACCAGGCGTCGCGGGGGCTCTTGTTCGCCCTGTTCGGCGCCACGCATCCCCGGACCTCGTCGTTTTTGCCCGTACCCCGCCCGATTGGACGCACCTCCCTGCCCCTGCAGGGGCCGCAGCGCCGCCGGCCCCCCAGAGTGTGCGGGGTGCTCCCTGGGGATCCCGCCTCGCGCCTTCGCCGAGTGGCGACTGCTTCCCTCGGACGCCGGGCCCCAGGGGTGCCGTCTGATCTCTGAGGATCCCGCCTCGCCGTTCTCCTCCTCCTCCTCCTCCTCCTCCTCCTCCTCCTCCTCCTCCTCCTCCTCCTCCTCCTCTTCCTCTCCCTCCTCCTCCTTCACCTCCTCCTCCTGCTCATGCTCCTGCTCCTGCTCCTCCTCCTCCTCCTCTTTCTTCTCTTCCTCCTCCTCCTCTTCCTCTTCCTCCTCTTCCTCCGCCTCCTCCTGCTCCTCCTGCTTCTGGTTCTCGGGTTGGGGATCGGCCGAAGCAAAGGAGTCTGTTGTTCGGGTGGCCAGGCTGTCCTCAGACCTTTGCCTTGGGCGCGGCTTTCGTCCTGAGTCGTTCTTTGGCGGCCCTGGGGCCCCGAAGCGGCTCCCAGACGCCGACATTGACAGCAACACAAGATACAATGCCGTTACCAAAGTTTTGACCATTTCGTCGACGGACCCCCCTCCCCCCGTAGAATCCTACAACATGGCATCCGCCTGTCGCGGAGTAGGTTTCGGATCCCGCCCACACCGCTTCTCCTCAGTACTATAGATTTATTACGGTGTGCAAACTTACTCCGCACGTTTTTTGACGTGGACTAACTTACTCCGCGTTCTTGTTCAACTTACTCCGCGGTGTGTTTTCGCTGAAGAAAACATACTCCGCGTCCTCCGAAACTTACTCCTCCTGTGTTTTACGAGGGAACGCGGCTTCAGATCTGCATGGGCATATGTCCGTCGTTCAGTTTTGCCCGAGGGCGCGCTGGCCGCAGGTCCGGCCTTGGGATTTGCAAGAAAGGTTAAAAATTGTAGTAACGGCAGAGTAATGCCGTTTTTTTTCGAGCCACCAGACCCAGACACCCGAAGTCGGATTGTTCGCCGAAGTGTGCAGTCCTGGAAGTCTCGACCTCCTTCCCGGTTCAAAGTCGCCAGGGGCTTGGGACATCATCCTCAAAACCGTGCTGGATTGCACTCTGGCCAAAATGTCGAGGGTAATCCAGCCGTGACCACGAGGAAGCCCCATGGAGTCCCAGAACTGCTCAGAACTATCCAAACTTGAATCGTCGATCACCTTGATCAGAAAAATAGTCCCGAAACTGCCTCTCATTCCCGCGAGCAGGTATTATTTGTGGGCGGGAGACATATATCCACATCCAAGGCCTGGCTGTCCAGACGACCCCATGGATACAGGGCTGCTTTGCGCGGATGTCTCGCGCGAAACGTACCCATGGGATCGCATGTCCGTGGGATCGCAGCGCGATGTCTAGAGCAGATATGGATATCAGCATTAGGGCGATAGCCGAAATTTCGATCGGAGTTGAAATCATATTGAAGTGTTGCGGTCGGTGTTTCTAAGGAAATGCGCCGATCTCGGCTAGACCTGTGGGCAAGAGGGGGCCCCATACATGTCTGTTCCCCGCCTTTCCAGATAGTCCCGACCACTTCCCGTGGACTGGCGGTCCCGCGGCCCGGTGAGGACCCCCAGAGGCCGAAAATTGTCAAACATTGTTTGCCGTGATTATGTCACGACGCGAGGGGGAGTGTGTGCTCGGCCGTGCGAGCAGAGCTGGCGTCGAGAATTCGCACCAGCACGCCATATTAGTCGCCCGTGAGTTGGGCACAGAAGGCGCTCTCGCACTCCCACCCAACCTGCCCCCCCTCCCCCTCTGGGGCTGGCCCAGAGAATTTCGAAACCCGATTGTGAGGATTTGTCGCAATAGTGGCGCGAAAAGTATACCCCACCCCCACCTGGTTTCCCCCCGCGCCCCCCTCTGCTGAGATCACCGCTGGGATTGCCAGGGGGATGGGGAGGTTAGGACTGCATGCTGAGGTGGTCATACCTGGCCTAACTTAGCTTATATGTGGGTTACACGGGCCCTGAGTAGTCTAGGATGATTAGATAATTTTGCTACGTGGGCTCCGCCCACTTTGACCAGATCTGTACCCACCCTAAGCCACGAGAGGCGCTCGCAACCCACTTAGAGGCCAGGCTGGGCCAGATATACCCCACCTTATCTGAGCCCCCTATCCCCTCAGCAGCCCAAGCGGTGATCTCAGTGGGGAGGGCCAGGTGAGCGACGGCAAGAAAAGGGTTCGACTGCGCCGACATTGGCGCGCAAGTTGCCCGCGTAAGGTCGCGCGTGAGCGCCCTGGTCTCCAATGTAACGTGCCTCGCTGGCGGCCCGCACAAACCTCGCGCAAGGTCGCTGTGTCATCTTGCGTAAGACGCATTTTGTCTCCGCCCAGGTGTCAAGCAGTGGCGAAGCGTCCTGGCGTGTCCATAAGCCCACCAAACAATGTCCTAAGAACTTTTTGGTGGATTATACGAAAAGTTCTTAGAACATTTTTGGCCGACATTGTTTTGTCTCGACACGTCGGGGTTGCGCTCTAAGAACATTGCTCCTGTTCTCAGAACATTCCGGGGCTCTGAGAACATGTCGTGGCAGGGCTCTTAGGGATGCCGAGACGGCCGCTCCTTGCTCAAAGGTTGGGCTCGGGGCTGCTCTTCTGCCCCTCTCGCGCGAGGTACAACGCCGAGCAGGAGGGCGCAGGTGCTGGCCGGGGCGGGGCCGGCGGCGCGGCGGCGCAGCCGAGGGTGCCCGTGCCGCGCCCGAGCGGCCAGCAGGCGGCGCCGTACGCGCCCGCCGCACCCGGGTTCGACGGCGGCCGGGCGGGCGAAGCTCGAGGGAGGACACGCTCCAGGCTCAGAAGTCGGGCCTGTTCCTTCACAGGAGGAGTATTCAAAACTAGTAGAAGATTGCGCCGCCGAGGTATCCCACGTACTTCTAATATTGTCTGGCGTGATGACACTCGACGTGCAACTCGCGAGAAAGATGCAGGTGGCCGTTGTTTCGCCGATCCTGTTGGTGGCGCCTGTCAAGTCTTGGGAGCCTGAGCACCCTGAGAGGATCCATAGTCCCTGGGAGACCGAACCCCCCTGCGCACCCTCTTTGGTGTCCAGAACGTGCCACGCCTGCTGTGCCTTGGACGACGGGTGCGCATAGCGGCCGCGATGAGAGACCACCCGCTGAACACCCTCGATGGTGTCGAGAAGTACCACGCTTGCTATGCCCTGGGCGATTGGCTCGCATAGCGGCCGCGGTGAGAAACCACCCCCTGCGCACCCCCTATGGTGTCGAGAAAATGCCACGCCTGTTTTTGCCTTGGTAGAGCGTGACGGATAGCGGCCGCGGTGAGAGACCACCCCCTACGCAGTCCATACGGTGTCGAGAATATGCCACGCTCGCTATGCCCCGGACGACGGTGACGGATCGCGGCCGCGCAGAGGGACCACCCCATGCGCACCCCCTTATGGTGTCGAGAAAATGCAACGCTTGCTGTGCCCTGGACGACCGTGGCGGATAGCGGCCGCGCTGAGGGACCACCCCAGGCGCACCCCCTTATGGTGTCGAGAATATGCCACGCCTGTCATGCCCTGGACGACTGTGACGAATAGCGGCCGCGCTGAGGGACCGTTCCTTGCGCACCCCCCATGGTGTCGAGAATATGCCACGCCTGCTTAACACTGGACGACCGTCACGGATAGCGGCCGCGCTGAGGGACCACCACCTACGCACACTTTATGGTGTCGAGAAAATGCCACGCCGTTTTTTGCATTGGTACAGCGTGACGAATAGCGGCCGCGCTGAGGGACCACCCCCTGCGCACACCCTACGGTGTCGAGAAAATGCAACGCTTGCTGTGCCCTGGACGACCGTGACGGATAGCGGCTGCGCTGAGGGACCACCCCAGGCGCACCCCTTATGGTGTCGAGAATATGCCACGCCTGCGACCGTGATGAATAGCGGCCGCGCTGAGGATGCCACGCCTTCCGCGCCTTGCGTCTGTGTCTGTGTCTGTGGTGTGTGGTGTGTAAATGTCTGATATGTGTGCGGCCGTAAATGTGTGTGGTTGTGTGTCTGTGTGTCTGTGTGTGCCTGTGTGTGTCTGTGTGTCTGTGTGTCTGTGTGTCTGCTGTGTGTCTGTGTGCCTGTGTGTCTGTGTGCCTGTGTCTGTGTGCCTGTGTCAGTGCGTCTGGGTGTATTTTGGGGTCGGATGGAGACGCGAGTGCGACGCGGCCAGGGATAAAACCAGAACCCCACTGAGCATGTGGGGAAAGAAACCAGAACCCCACGAAACATGTGGGGAACCAGACCCCCACCAAACCTGTGGGGAAGAAGAGGTGAGGAGGGAGGAGGGAGGGAGGTGACTGAGGGAGCTGCGGGTGGGACGCGGAAGAGAAGACAGCCAAAACCCCACTAAACATGTGGGGAAATAGTCGGGGGACGCTTTTTGTGGTACGCTTGGTCATTTCTGATTATGTTTTGACTATTTTTGATTCTTCGTTCAAAATCCGCCTATAGGGGGACATGTCCGACCTAACTCTAGGCCTCCCTGATGGGGTCGGAGTGGATGGGGTCGGAGGATCGCGCCGCATCGCCGATGCATCGGCGATGCGGCTCGATGTGGAACTCGTGTTTCCCCACGCCGGCGTCGCATCACCGACGTCGCCGATGCATCGCCGGTGCATCGCCGATACATCGGCGATGCATTGGCGATGCATCGCTTATCTCTCGCCGATGCGGCGCGACCCTCCGACCCCATCTACTCGGACTCCATCTAGGCGGCCTCTACACGCTGGCCATGGTCTCAAGCAGTGGCGAAGCCTCCTGGCTTGCCTACAGGCCCACCAGACGAATGTTCCAAGACCCTTTCGTGGTCTGCACGAGATGTGCTTAGAACCTTTCTGGCTGGGGCTGTCTTGTTTTGACGCATCGGGTCGATGTTCTAAGAACATGGTTTCTGTCTTCGAACATTTCTGGGTTATAAGAACATGTCTTGGTAGGCCTACAGGAATGCCGGGACGGTCGGTCCCTGCTCAATGGTCGGGCTGGGCTAGGACAAGGATAATCCGTTACAGGACTTTGCCGAACGCTCTCAGATCTTCCCGGAACGCTCTCAGAAGGCCGCGGCGTTCGATATGTGCTCCAGAATTGCCGGATCTCAGAGATTCCCGATGTGTCCCTGTTGGATGCTATCCTCGTCCTGGCTTCGTCTTGCATGGCCAAGATTCAGAGCCCTGAACCATCAGGGCTGGGGGTAGTCGGGCTTACTACGTGTTGTTGCTCTTTTTCTTCTTCTTCTTCTTATTATTATTCTTCTTCTTCTTATTATTATTATTATTATTCGTCTTCTTCTTCTTTTTCTTCTTCTCCTTCCGAGCCCCTCGAGGTGCGAGGATCGAGGTTCGGGGATCGAGGTTCGGAGATTGTCCGTTTCTGCGGCCACCGTGGGCCTCTGGGAGTCGTCGGCGAGACCGCGCCCGACTGCCTTCGTGTCGCCAGGCGGGAATGCGCTCGGTTCCCGATATCACGTTGCGCCTAATTCGTTCGACGGGGCGAACTGGATCTGACGTCCTGCCACTCCCGCCCATCCCTTCCCACTGCGCTGGGTCGTGTCACATCTGCCCACTGAGTTGTCCGACAGGCCCTCGTTCCCTAGATGGATCCCATCGTGTGGTGCGCCGTCCGAGCGAGCGCGCCTTCTAAGGCGGCGGATGAGCAGAAGGAGGAGCAGGAGGAGGAGCGGGAGGAGGAGGAGCAGGAGGCAACTAATGCCCAAATGCAGCTACGATGCAGTTACAGTCTCGCCACCTCTTGGCTCCGCTCACAACTGCGCGCCGCAACTTGCCAGTGCAGATGCTCGCAGCAACCGTGCGAGTGGGGGTGGGGTCACTTCGGGGGGGGAGGAGCGAAAGTGCAACATTGCCAGACGCCATATCGACGGCCACAGGAGCCGCCGAGCATTGCGCAGGCGAGCACTCTGGCCCGTGAACGGCTGGCCCGCAGCCGCCACCACTGAGCTAGACATCTGAATGCCTCCGTGCCGCCCATCGTCCGACTCAGCCGACCTCTCGCCTGTCACGGGTGCGCTCGTCGTCTGCTCCCGCGCCCTGGAGCATGCCACAGAAGAGGAGCAGCCTCCGTCTACCACTCCAACCACGCGGCAGCCGCCAACCAGCGCAGCCTCCGTTCTACCACTCCAACCACGCGGCAGCCGCCAACTATAGCGGGAGGGGTGGGAGTGCATGGCGTGGGGGAGCGGGAAGCCAACGTCGCAGCCGCCGCGCCA